GCTCAGGCCATCCCGTCGGCCTGAACGGCCCTTCCCAGCCCCGGTCAAAATGTCTTGTCTCTCTCAGGGGGGTCTCCCACCCTCTGATCTCCCTTCTCTCATGAACACTGTGTCTCAGACTTCAGCACGTCACTATTCAGCTGAAGCCAAAACACATTACACGCTCCTTGGAGCCCAGCCTCACGCCAGGTAAATTACAAACACCAACTTCACAATAAGCCATGTGTTTAAGCTTTGCAATAACCACGTCAGGATGTCTTAGCGGTGACTATTGTTACCCTCATTCTGCAAGGAAGGAAAATGACCCTCCGAGATCTTGCCAGTGATCACACAGCCATCGAGTGGCCAAGTCTCCACCTCTGCCTTGAATGCCCACCCCCTTCCCTGTGGCGTGGGGATGGGGCTCTGGAGGCAGCTTGAGAGAAGATGCGGCTGCCTCTGCACTTCAGTGGCCCCAGCCTCTATGGGGGTGGGATGGATGCCCTCCAGCTGGCCTGCCCCTCTGGCCCCCCTGACCCCGCTCCCTCTCAGCTCAGACCTTATTCACCACCAGGAAGTTCTCTATGGTTTTCCCGTTGGCAAAGACCACATCTCCAGTGTCTTTCACGGCTTCAGGCAGGATCTCCTTCACCTCCTGGGCGATGACACCTGGGGAGGGTCAAGCCAAGTTGTGTGCGTATTGTTGGAGGGAGGTGACCACTCACGGGGTGGGGGCTGGACAGGGCAAAGTTCTGGGGGCTAGAGATTTTAATTCCAAGGAGCCTTGAAACAGGGGGCCAGGGGGGTCCCACAGACAAGTGTTCACGGGGTCACAGTTCCAGGAGTCAAGGTGTGAGGTTCTTCCCGATGGGGGAGGGGCGGGTTCCGGGGAGTAAGGACCCCAGGGGAAGCGGGCAGGGATCCAGGAGGATGAAGGCAGAATTTATCCAAGGGACAGAGGGGCTGGGATCCGGGGCCACGAGAATCCCGGACTCCAGGGGCGAGGTATGGGGGACCAGCAAAGGAGCGACTTCCCAGGGTCTGAGTCAGGGACTTGTAGTGGGCAGGGTTCCCCGGGAGGGGCTTCCTGGGAGGACGGTTTCCAGAGGACAGGGACAGAGTTGCCAGAGGACCGGGACTGGGGTGGGGTTACTGAGGGCCGCGGTTACTGGGTTCCCGGACCCTAGTAACCCCAGGCCGGTCCCTACCCGTCTCTGGCGCCGCCGCCTCGATGCCGGCGGTGGCGGCAAACTCCGGTTTGTATCTGTAGTGCACCAGCCGCATGCGCGAGATCCTCTTCAGCTGCTCCGTGGTGTCCACCTGCGCAGGAGCCACGGCCAAGGCTGAAGCCCTCCTCTCATGGACCATCCAAAGCGGGCCCCGGAGCCCAGGAGGGCGACAGCCCAGAGGGTGCAGTGTAGAGGGGAGACCTTACTACCGGAATCCCTTGATCCAGAGCCAGCCTCCCGCTCCTCCTTCCCCCTCAAGCCCCGCGTTTCCGTCTGGGCCCGCCCCTCCGCGAGCCCCGCCCACATAAGCAACCCCGCCCCCGGCTCACCCCTGCTGCGACCCCCTCCCGTGCATAGCTCAGTTGTTCCCACCCACAGCCCCAACCACACCTCCTGCACGTGCTCCTTGGCCCGCAGATCCGAGGGGTGCATGAGTGAGCCCATGACCTTGACGTTGCCGTGCACGACAAGTGCCTCGTCGGGCCTGTCAGTGTTGATGCCCACACGGCCATGGTGGAAGACAGTGTCTGGCACTTGAGCCCGCTGCCACAGCACGTCACTGTCGCTCTCAAACTGGCCTGGGTTGGAGGCCTAGCACAGAGTTGGGGTTGGATGGATCGGTTTTGGGGTGCGGGGTCCTGCAGCTGCCCCTCCAGCTCCAGCCAGATGTCCTCACCCCACCATGCCCAATTTAAACCGTCCCTCCCACTGTGGCAACTTTCAGTCACTTGTGGGATCTCAAGGCTACCAAGCCCCGTCCATCTCCACGCTTCACTGCGAAGGAGACACTGATCCCCAGGGAGGGTGGGAGCCTTGCCCAAAGCCACGCAGACAGTGCCCAGCAGGATCAGCACTCCGGCCCCTGACTCCCCAGCACCCTGGTATTTCTCCTGGGTGCTGTTTCTCCCAGCTCTGGGGAGGACTCTCAAGTCCCTGGGGGGGAGATGGCCCTCACCCGCACGATGATGCGCTCTGAGATCTGGGCGGCCAGCGTGTAGTTCTGGTTCTGTGCATGGGCCTGAAGTGCCACCACCAGCATAAAGTACCTGGGGCACACAGGGGTCTTAGAGGCACCCAGGGGCCTGCCCCACCTGCCACTGCCCACCCCTCCCCAACTCCGCTACCCTTCCCAGGTCAGATGCACACTGTACAAAACCGATGAGCACTTGGTCATCTCCCCCAGGTTCCCAGCACCCCCAGGAAGTGGGCATGAACATTCCGTCCTACAGAGCAGGAACTTGAGTCTCCACTAGGGGGCAGAAGTTCCCCAGGACCCATAGCTAGGCAGCCACAGAGCTGCTGATGAACCCAGAAGCCAGGCTTCTGCTCTCTCGACCGTACGCCAGGTTCCTCATCTGCAAAGTGGGTCAGCCTGTGGGACCGTATGCCTGGCGTGCTACACTGGGTGGCACCTTCCCGCCCCTCCTCCTCAGACGTGGAGGGACACTGGGGCAGGGGTCCAGCCAGCTCACCTCTGGTCGGGGTTGGGCTTGCCTTTCTTGCGCATGTTGTTGGCGGTGGTCTCGCTGAAGTGCAAGCGCCCCACGGTCACCTTTGTGACTTGCTCAGGGGGCAGATTGACCCTGCAGGGGAAGGGCAGGGTCCTCAGGGGCAGGGACGGGGGCTGTGGAGAGCCAGGCCGGAGGGTGGCACCCAGGTCTGGGAGGTAGACATTATGGGTGCCTACCTGTCCCCCGCGCCCAGCTCCCAAGCCAAGTCCAGGGCGAGTCCTCCCAGGTACCACCCCCGCAAGGGACAGACACTCACGTGACAGGGTTGAAGGGCCGCTTGCTTCGGTCGGACTGAGACTGCTCGATGTTGATGGACTGGTTCAGGGCCTCCAGCTGTGGGAAGAGTGGAGCCCACTGGTACCTCAGGGCCTGGCTCGCCCCCTGGTCCTGCCCCTCCTTCGGTTTCTCAGCCCAGGCCTGGCCCAGCTGGAGCTCATGAGGCAGCAGAGGCACCGCCTTCCCCTCAGCCTCACTTTCCCATAAACGCGGGTGCCTTCTCCTACGCAGCCGCACACCCCACAGACCCACACCCACACCACTGCCCTCACCTCTGCGTGCATGAGCGAGCACGCACACACTCCAGTCACCCTCACAGCCCCCAATCCATACCACAGCCCCCCCGACTCAGGACACATACCCCCGACCGACCTCCACAAACACCCACTCACACGCAACCCACTCGCTCCCGGCCCCCCTCCCACACTCATGTTCCCTTAACCCCTCCGCGGGCACTGTCTGAGCCATGCCAAGGCACCAAGCCCAGCTCGTGATACCGAAGCAGACACACCCAGCCAGGCCCCAGAGAGCTCACGAGCTCAAAATCAACATCCACGAAGGTTGTACTAGGGGGGCGGTGTGATAGGGGAGGGGCCTCTAAGTCAAGATGGGCCTCATGGCAGGTGTCCTGAGGGCCAAGGACTGTAGCAGAGCAAATGATGAAGGTCAAGGAGCAGTCGACCAGGACAGGAGGGTCAGAGGGAGTCCCAGAGAAAGGAAGCTGCTGAGGGAAGGCAGGGACTGTAGTGGGCACAAGCGGTCTGGGGCACAGCAAATGGCAGGGCTGGAGTGAAGGGCTGGACCTCAAAGGCTAAGGCTTTTGTGGGCTAAGCTTATAGATGGGGCTTTGCGAGGAGGGCACTGGGCGCTCTGGGAGAATGGGGAGTGTCATGCCCACCCATGTCTCATGTGGAGTTTGAGTCAGGAGCTAGAGTGAAAGCTGCTGTGGACATTCAGACAAGAAGGATGGCCTGGTCTGGGAGAGGCAGAGGGAAGGGGAGGAGGGGACAGCACGGCCTGGTGCATGATGAGGTGTGGGCAAGCGGGCCCCGGGTTTATCAACCAGGGCCCTGGAGCCCCATTCCTGACCGGGGAGCCCAGGGGGTGGGGAAAGTTTGCAGGGAGTTCATTTGGGAATATGGAGCTGAGGTGGCTGCCAGAGCTCTCAGAGGATGGGGTCTGGCTGGGTGTGCGGACTTGGGGTCACGGGCTGGAAACAAGGAGCATAAGTGAGAAGAGGGCTGAGGGGCCTGCCTGCTAAGGGGCAGCATGGGACAAAAGGCAGGAAGGGTGGGGAAGGGGGTGGACTTGGCCATGAGGAGTTTCCTCAAGACACACTCACTCCACCTTGGGGTCCTTCAATGCCCCCGAGCTGCCCCTCCTTGCCAAGCTCCCAAACCTGCCTTCACTCCGTGCAGCTTCAGGTAGAAGCAGTCGAGAGGCTTGAGGCCTTCGGGCGTCTTGACGTACTTGGGCTCGCCCAGCATGCCAATGTACACTGTCACCTGGAAGTGGTTCTTCTTTTGGCACACGAAGGCGTCGTCACCCACGGAAAAGTTGAAACCCTTGTCGGCATCCACACGGTAGGTGAGCATGGGCCTGGAAGGAGGGGAGGGTACTCGCCGGGGTCCCCAAAGCCGGGCCTGGAATGTTGGTCGCCCCCCCACATGTCTGTGTGCCAATTTCCTACCCTGGACCCCCCACTTCTCAGAAACGGAAACTGAGTCCCTGGAGGATTTGGGCTCAGGTCCGCTATCTCCAGCCCCTATTCTTTCCCGGGACCACCCTGTCCTGGGGATGTGGGAGGGCCGGCAAAAGACTTGAGGCCCACCAGATGGGAGGGAACTCTTGGCGGGGGGCTTGACAGCCCCTCGGCACTCTTGGCTCTTTCCCAGAATGCTGCCTGAAGCCCCCTCCCTTATGGGGGATGGGGTTAGAGGGGATGGTCTGTGGAGCCTCACCGCGCCTGACAGCTGGTTGCCATGGAAACGGTGGAACCAGGCGCTGGCTCTGAGCTGGCCCAGCCTCTGCCCACCAGCTCACTCAAGCCCCCAAACATCCTCATTCTGACTCCGCCCTGGGTGGGGACAGGGGCGCTGTGGGCAGCTAAACTCGGCCTGTTTTCCCATCTGTTGTTGGGAAACTATTCCAAGTCTGGATCCTTTGGGGGACCTCCAGGTCAGGAAAGGAGGAAATCACTGACCTACAGCTTGGCCCACCCTCACCCAGGTCCCCAGGCACAAGCTGTGCCCCCAGCGTCCAGTGCCTGCCTGGACAACGCTGGGCAGGGAGCATGTTTCCAAACTTGTGGAAAAAGGACTTTGGGCCTGGCTAACGTCTACAGGAAGGCCGGGGGCTCACCACTTTTCCCTCCCAGGGCTCCACCCACCTGCCCGCCCCAGGGGAACACCCAGGAAGTGCCAGCTTCCTGGCCTTGGCAGGGCTGGCCCAAGAGGGGTAGAATTAAGATTGGGGAGTCCTCATCAGGCTATAGGGGCTAGACTCCCAAAGACCTCCACTCGACCCTGGCAGGATTTTGAGGGACCCTTCAGCCACCACAGCAGCTGGACACACACACACACACACACACACACACACACACACACACACACACACACCCTCCCCCCACCACCAAGAATCCCATAGAGCCTGGGGTGCCCAAATCTAGAAGGCTGGTCTCCCCTGTGAGAGGGCCCAAGTCCAGCCACACTGCCCAAGCCTGGCAATGTCCAAGGTGAGCTGAGGAGAGCCACATCCCTCACTGGCCTTCCTTGGAAGGGAGGGTAGTGGTCCCACAGTGCTCCTGGCCAGGCCAGGCAGCCAGTCCAGGTGGGTGCTGAGGAAGGGCGAGGAAAGCCAGGCAGCCTCTGACCTGGCCCTCCCCCACCCACGGGGCCTCCGGGGCAAGGAGGGGGCTGCTGGAAGGGCCCCCCGCCAACACTCCGCTTCCTGCTACCTTCCTGGAATGCAGCAGGAGTGGGTAGAGGGGGTGGAGGGGAAGGAAGAGCCAGAGAACACCCATCCACCACATCTCCCTGACTCGGCCCCCAATGGCCCCTCTGTGGCAGACACCACCTTCTTAAGGGGGCCTCGGGCTAGCCCAGGAGTCAGGAACCTTGATCGCCAGTCCTAGCTCCATCCTGAGCCTGTCTGCTCGGCTGTAAAATGGACCTTCTCGTACCCACTAGGCCCCCAGGCTCTGCTCTAGGACCATGACGCCAGGACCAGGGGCCCCTGAGGGGGTGGCCAGGAGGTGTAGGGAGTGGCACTGATCACTCACAGCTCCTTGTAGTTCGCATCGTATAGTGTCGCCCACTTGTTCTGCTGATGCGGTTGCCATTTGATGGACTGGTAGTTGGGGTCCAGGTAGGAGCCACTGAGGCTGTCATTGTCCTGCAGGAGACCTGGAGGGAAGGACCGCCTGTGTGGGCCCTGGGCTCCACTCCCCAACTTGAAGGGTTGGCCCCCTGCGGGGTCCAGCAGGCCAGCCATGTACCTGGTGAGGGTGCGCCTGGTGGGTGCCAAGGCGGCGTCTGGACCCGGGCGATGCTGAGAGGCAAGGAGCCAGGGCCTGGCGAGAGTGGGCCCTGGGGAGGCCAGGGTGGGGATGGGGCTCGTGTGGGGTGCGGAGGGAGGGCTGTCACAGTCCCGGGCTCCTGTTTGATCATTCCATTCAGCATCTGGGCGTTGAGGGTGTTGGGGGGCGATTCAGAGTGTTTCCTCTTCTTGGAGGGGTGTGTGGGGAGCCTGGGGGGACGGAGGTGTGTGCCATGTGGGGCTGGCTCTCCCTGAGCCCGCTCCCCCGGATAGTACCCTCCTCCCCTCACCACTCTGTTCCCACAGGATATGCCCACAGCAGAGGACGCTTCCTACAGGAAGCCCATGGGCTTTGCCTCCTCAGTGCTCCCCCGTCAGTCCATGTTGTCATTCCCCATTTCTGTCTCTCCTCCCTACCCCCCAAACTGTGGAATCCAGGAGGGCAGGAGCCACACCTGACTTGTCTGTGTGTCCCCATCACACCCGACAACGGGCCTGGCACACAGAGCACTCGGAATTGTTTGTGGAATGAACGAGTTGGCCTCTTCCCTGTGGTGCCACTGAAAACTCTCTGGACAGCAGCCTGCGTGGTTAGAAATGAGCCACAGAGGGCAGAGGGCCTGGGCCACAGCAGCAGGAAGGAGAGTTTCTTGGGAAGGCGGCTGAAGGTTTGGGGGGCCGTGCTGTGCCCCTTTTCCTTCTGGTTGACAAAACGTTTCAGCAGTGGAATCTTTCCCTGAACTGTCTTTCACAGAATCTCAATGTATAAAACACAAACGGACGACTCTGCGGGTTGGAGCTGTCAGAGTGGGGGGCTCGGCTCTCCATCTGGAACCTCCTCAGAAACCCGAGGACTCCGTGAGACAGCTGGAGAGTCGCTGGTGTCGGGGTTCAAGCCTTGACACTGCCCCTCCTAGTTCCACGCCTGGACCAGCATGCCCCACTCTCGGAGGCCTCGTTTACCCATGTGGGCAACGGGGCTGAGCATGTGGCCCTGGCTGGAAATCTAGGACGCCTTGCTGAGCACGTGCAGACACACGCACTGACCCCTTCCCCTGGGGTCAGGGCCTCCTGCCCTTCCTGGGTTCATCCCTATCCCCACCTCTACTTCTGTCCTGCCTGCTGCTGCCCTGACCCCCCACCCCATTTTCCCACCCCAGGGGCGGCTGCCCACATCTTACTCAGCTCCATGCTGCAGCAGCTGATGCAGCATCTGGGACTGCTGGGCGTGGTGGAGATCGGTGGGCACCAGCCCCTGCCCCATGGCCGCATAGGGGGGCATCGGGGGCTCAGCCTTCATGTACAGGTCCCGCTGCAGGACGGGGTAGTGAGGTGGGGGTGGCGGGGGGCCTGGCAGGTGGGCTGGAGGTGGGGGCGGGTGCTCCAGGCGGGAGGGCATTCCCACATGGCACAGGGTCTCAGGGGTTATGGTGCGCAGGAGGTGGGGGTCTGCAGGAGAGAAGGAGGGCTGGCATCAGAGACCTACCTCACTTGGGGCCCCGGGCATGACCTCGGCAGGGTCTCCCAATTCCCACCCCGCCCCAGGCCAAGCCTGGGGGCTGCCCTCCCACCAGCCCCACGTGGGAGGGGAGTTAGGCAGCCTAGAACCTGGCCTCTAGAGGCCTGGGCAGGGAGGCGAGCCCCGGTCCAGGGGTGGGCGGCCTTTTACCCACTCCTCGTCAGCTCCTTCCCCTGGGCCGGGCTAGCCTTGCTACGCAGGGGAGGTCCCGAACCCCCAGGCTCTCCCGAAGCTCTTCTCAGGCCTGACCCTCCCCTGGGCTTCAGGAAGGCGGCTCCTGGACCCCCAGCACAGGCCTGTGGCAGCCTCCTCCCTCCAGCAGCCCCTCTACCGGGCTTCCAGGGGCCAGCCCCCCAGCCTCAGTGGGGAGGCCCCAGCTCCCTTTGTTCCCCAGGAGGCATTCCAGAGATGTTTTTGGTAAGATAAACAGAACTCTTGACCCCTCTCTGGGCTGTGGGGAGACAGCTGCCCGCCCATGATCCTTCTGCTCTTGGCCACCTGGGGGCCACAGCACCCTGGAGCACCCCTCAAGGTGAGGTGGGCCCGGCAGCTCGTAAGCTGGTAAGGCCTGTGCTCAGGCTGCAGACGGGGCCTTCCCCAGCCGTCCACTTACCGCCGAAGGGCACGTCCATGATGGCGCAGGAGGGCAGGCGGGTGGCATCGCCAGCGGGGACACTTGCTCAGAGGCAGGGCCAGGCTCCCCTCCCGCCCGCCGGGAAACAATAGCCAGCGCCAGGGAGTATTTGACCAGCAATAATCTGGGCCTGTTGGGCAGCCGCTGGCCCCCTCCCTCCCTTGCTCCCTCCCTCCCTGATAAGGCCGCCCCAACCACTTGCCCAAACCCCAGAGGGGGAGGGCGGTGCCCGCTGGACTCACCATTCACCTGCTGCGGGGAGTAGGCCTCGGAGCCCGAGTCTGGCGGGGAGTCCGGCAGTGTGCTGCGGGAGAGGAGGAAGGGGCTGTCGGGAGGGCCGCTGAGGCCCTGCCTTTAAGCCGGGCAGCTCCTCTATGAGGCAGGGTCTCAGAGACCCCAGAGGCTGGAGGCACCCTTAGGGGCATTTCTCTGTACCAGCTACCTTGAGGTGCCTGACAGGGCTAGGGGCTCTCCTGCCCAGCATCCCCTCAGACCTACGGGGAGCTTGGGGGCCAGTTACCAGTGCCCCTGATGATGGCGTAAGCATTCAAGGGCTCTGTCCTCAGAGTCTAAGGGGCCAGGCCTGCTCCTCCCTTCTTGTATGCACCCACTGAAGCCATCACTTCCTAGAAACATAGGCTCCTGGGGGACTGAGCCCAGGGAGCCTCAGTACGTCACTGGGGGCTGCCCCACCAGAGGCAGGTGTGGGCTGGGCAGGGAGCCAGCTGCCCTAGGCTTGGGTTTATTTTTTTCTTGCAGGTTTTATCAGTGGTTCCAGTGAAAGACAAACTCAACCCTGAGAGGTCAAAACGTCCTGCATGAACCCTGTGCTCGTCCACTGAGGGGTGGGCTGTGCTCACATGGAGGTCCAGCTCTTTAGCCATCCTTGGTCCCCACATGTGGAGACCCTGCCCACCGCTATGCCTAGGCAGCTGCCCCAGGTGGCCGAGCCATTGTTGGACACAGCCAGGAGCCGATCCCAGAGTCCCTGTGCTCCCGTGGACAAACCACCCGCCCAACCCTGCAGGCCATGTGAGGATGGCAGAAAAAGTGATAAGTGATGGGGACCGAACCCTCACTTCGGCCCTCAAGGCCCCTGGCATTGACCCGGCCTCTCCACTTCCACGTCTACCATCTCCCACCTGCTCCCTGCACTTCCCTGACAGTGACCTTGGGTTTCTCCAGTGTGTCAAGGTCTTTCACACCCTCAGGTCCCTGCAATCAAATGCCCCAAGTTCATAAGGCCTCATGTTCTTTCCTTGTAGCTCCTCACACTCCTCAGCGTGGTGATTTATTGATTGATAACTCCCTCCCCGGCTAGATCGCAGGACCCGTGGCAGGAGGGACGTGTCCGTCTTGTTTGCCACCTAGAACAGGGTCTGGCAGGCATGGGGCAGTGAAAGGTCCAGGCCAGAGTCCCTGTGTAGCTCTGGACAAGCCCTCTCCCTGAGAGATGGCCCCCAGAGTGCCATTAGAATCTTGCTATGAGGAGAAGCAGACCTTTCTTTGACGGCTGGTTTTGGGGTCCCCCAGGAATAGGTTACTGGGGACGGCTGATGAGCACACACAAAAGCATGGGGTACGGCAGCGGGCCCCCAGCAGGTGCTTATTACACGTTAGTTCTCTTCCCTCCTTTCAGGGTCTGTAAATTAGAGATGGCCTCTCGGCCTCAACCCTCAAGCAAATGTCTGCCTTTTGCAGCTCACCCTGGCACCCCAGCTCGCCGCCCTGCTCAACCCCTGTAAGCCAGGAAACAGCTACCACTCCCCCAGCTCCTCCTCTGTGCTACCTCACTTTATTTCCACGGTCCCCTGGAGGGGGAAGCATTTGGGGCTCACTTTACAGAGAGGATGCTGAAGCCTTGACCAAGGTGGTCCCTCCCCAAACCAGCAGCCTGGCCATAGGAGCCGGAAGTGGAGCCGAGCCATGAATGGTGTCATGCTCCCAGCACGAATAATTATTCTTCCACCCAGAGACAGGGTCTCTGCCCCTGGCTGGGGAGCCCAGAACTTTCTCTGAGCCCGTGTTCCCTGCCTCTCCTCATCAGCACATGTCTGTGGGCTGTGCTGGAGTCTGGCTGGGCTGGTGGCCGCCTAGAACCTTTGGTCACAGCCAGGCTCGGCCTGAGCCCTTGAGTCAGGCAGCCAGTGTGGACTTCTCTGATGTGTGTTGGGAGGAGGGCCTGGGAGGCTGGCTTGGATGTGGAGAACTTCAAGTACCACATCTGTGCCATCAGCCAACTCCCGGCGGCCACAGTAAATAGTGGCTAAATGCACAGATGAGTGGATGGGGCTGGCGCAGTGAGGGCAGTGTGTATGCCTCTGTGTGTGCACATGTGTATAGGTGTGCACATGTGTACAGCTGTGCATGCACGTGTAGGTGTTCCCGTGAAAGTAAACAGTCATGGCCTCCAGTCTCGCTCCTTCCCGTCCGCTCTCCACACAGCTCTCAGAGATTTTTCTAGCACTCACGTCAGCCCTCATCGCTCCCCTGCTCAGAACCCTCCGTGCTGCCCACTGCCTCAGAACAAAGCCAAGAGTCCCTCCTCAGCCTGGCCCTCGGCCCTCCCCACCTTACAGGGCAGCGCGGTCACCACTGCCAGGCCTTGGCCAGCTCCTCCCAGGCCCATGCCCTGCCTGCCCCCTGGGCCTCTGCTTCTAAACCCCCCTCCCCTGCCATGCTCCCTGCCCTCACTCACCCTGGGGCATAGGGAGCCTTGGGCTCAGCCTTGATGGGGGGCCCAGAGCCCCCCAGGAAGGGCTTGGGAGCGATGCCCAGGCCATTGTTGTTGTTGCAGTTGAGTGGGGCGCTGTAGCTCGGGGGTGGGAGGGGGCCGTGGCGCCCTGGGGAGGGTCCACCCCCAGGGGGGCTCAGGTGGTGGACCCCGCTGGAGCCGGGGATCACTGGCTGCCCGTGGGGGTAGGAGGCCGCACTGGCTGGAGCAGAGATGTCAGGGAAGCAGCTGCGGAGAAGGGAGGAAGCTCAGCGCCAGCCAGGACCCCAGCCCCTCCCGGGGCCCCCACCCACAGGCCAGCATGAAGACTGCAGAGGGGTCGGCTGCTGGGGAGGGCCCAGCAGCAGCTTTCAGAGGTGGGGCCCTGTCACACCTCCCAGGTGAAAGGCGGCTGCCAGAAGGGCTGGGGGTGGAGCCGAGGCTGTCCTACGGCCACTCACAGTTCGGACGCATCCTCCTTGCTGATGTACTCCTCCAGGATGCTCGTGTCTATGTTGGAGGGCTCCAGGGCGCCGTTGATGTCGTGGCCTGCAGGAGAGAGACAGATGTGAGCTGGGGAGGGGTGTGGCTCCTAGGCCTCTGGGCCCTCTAAGACCTACGCCCGGGCTCCTCCCCACCTGTGTGTCCATCTCTGTTGGGGAGACACCTTCATCTTCTCCCACCTGACACCCCTCCAGAAGGCACTGACCTCCCTCAGCCCACAAAGCCACCTGGAGTCTCCAAGGAGAAGAAGGGTCCAGAGTGCAGATTTGGGACAGAGAAGCTGATTCTTACCTTCCGTACCCTGTTCTAGCTCCTGATATGAGCTAATCCTTTCCCCGTATCTACAAAATGGGGTAATCATCCCCTGTCTTATGGGGTGCTCTGAGGAGCAAACAAGAAGCTTTATTGAGTCTAGTGCCCAATGGATGATGCCCATCACCCTCAGTGACTCTGTCCTGCCCTGTCCTCCGGGAGGCAGTCAGTTGCAGATGGCCCAGCTGGTGAGTGCCTAGGAGCACGAGGCCTGGCTGGCTGAACAACGCATCCTGGGGGTGCCCATGGGCTGCACCCCAGGCCCCAGCTGCAGACCGAGAGGGAGTGGAGATCAGAATCAGGAGTGCCCACCCTCACCCATATGCCCGTCACCTCATAATGGGGTTGGGGTGCCCAGCCCTGGTTTTGCAGAGGCGCGAGGACCAGAGAGGTAAGGGCTCGGCCTGGCCGCGCAGCAGGGAAGCGATGGCGGCCTGGTATCCGCTCCTCCACCCAGCCTCTCCTGGGCCCTCCTCACTGGCCCCGGCCCTAGGGAGAGGAGGGGCTCCCAGAAAAGGCCTCTTCTGCAGGGAGGTGCTAACCTTTCCCCTCCCAAGGTCACCTTGCAGGGGGAGCCGGAGGGCGGGGTGATAAGGGGGCTGACGTGGGAGATGCGTCAACCCCGATAATGGAGGACAGCCCCACCCACTGCTGACCTGGGCTTGCCAGCCCCCCGAGGCAGAAGGTGCCCTCCCACAGGTCCCTGGCGCCTGAGTCTGGGGTCTGTACCTCATGCCCCCTCCCCTGGTGAGCCCTGGGAACAGCGCTTAGTCAGGTCCAGGAACAAACCCTGGCTCACCTCCTACCTGCTGTGTGACACTGGGCAGGTCACGTACCCTCTCTGAACGTCAGTCTCCTCATTAGTAAAATGGGGACGTGAAGGGGTAACGCTTTACAGGGTCGTTGTGAGTGTGGAACAAGTTAAGGTATGTAAGGTGCCCGGCACGGCGTGGGTGCTCAGCCAACAGAATGGCTGTCCTCACTTCCCAGTCCCAGGAGTGCTGGGGTCCCCAGGAGCCCCCCACCCAGGCCCCTCCCTGGCCTCGGCTGGCATTTCAAGAATGCTGAGCCCCGCTTAGGTGATTAATGAGTGGCTAAGCCCTCCTAGGAATCACGCGCTGCCCGAGACAGGCCCTCCTGTGGCCCCCACCCCGGCTCACCCAGCCGGGAACAAGGGACACCCACCAAGCACCACCAATGGCTGTCCAGGGCCCCGTACGGCCAGGGCAAGAGAAGCTTCTCAGGCCGGGGCTCGCCAGTCTGCATGCTGAGGTTCTAGAACTGTCCAGCTCTGTCTCTCCCCACGTCCTTGGCTGTTAACCAAAGATCCCATTTACTGAGCACCTACTATGTGCCCGGCACTTTTGGAGCCAAGTACATGAATAAATCATAGTTCGTTATATGCGAGGCATCCCACAGGCTCTTCATGTGCAGTGTGACACTTAATCCCCCCAACCTGTAACGGGGACGGTAACAGTGACAGCATATCATTCTGACTCCCCGCCAGGCCCCGCACTACGCTAAGTGCTTTACGGGTTTACCTCCCGATCTCGCCTGCAGACTCCGTGTTATTAGCATCAATCATTCCCTCTCTCAAGGCGACACGGCACAAAGTCAAACCCAGGCGCGGGGCCTGACTGCAAGGGGTAAGGGGTAACTGGTGGCCACTGAGACTTCCCTGCCGTCCTGGGCAGCCCCGCCTGATGGGCTGGGGGAGGTTCCCGAGGGAGGATCCAACATGGGAGATGGGCAGGGAGGGGGTACTGGAGTATCACCCCACCCTGGCCGCTGAAGCTGCAAGTTTTTGAGACTGAACTTGGAATCTCCAGTGAATGATGGGGTGATGGAGTCATGGTGTTGCTATTTATAACAGGCCAGGCCCCCTCCTCCCCTCCTCCTCCTCCTCCCCTGGCCAGGAGTGTTCCTAATCACCCCTAATCCTCCTGCCCACCTCCCCTGGGATACGGGGCCTCAGGCAGAGGCATCCTGGGAGACCCTAACGAGAACCAGATGTGGCTGGGGGGAGGAGAGACCCTCCCGTGCCAGGGGCCGGGTGGACGGGAGGATGCGGGAGGGAGGAGGGAGCCGCTGGGGCAGGGTGGGGGTGGGCCACTGGTGGGAGAGAAATTTGAGGTTTGGGGGTTGGGGGCCTCCTGAGGAACACTGACCACGTCTTCTTCTCTGGGAGCCCTCGAGGCCTGCCTGGTTTTTGCCCCACACAGCCTGGGGTCCAGCCACCAGGCAGATGCCCCCAACCTGCCCCAGGTGCCACACTGGGGATTTCTAACCAAACATTCTAGGGTAGGAGTCGGGGCTCGTGGGAGCCCAGGGATTCCTGAGGCTGGGGCAGAGCCCTCAGGAACCCAGGAGGGAGGCAGGGCCCCTCAACACACTCTTGGGGGTTCCCATCCCCCACCGCTCCCAAAAGAGCCCTGGAACATTGCTGAGCCAACAGATACCTGTGAGCAGGAAGCTAAGTGTATCTCCTGCTGATCCTCAAGACCTCCCTGGGAGGCGGAGAGGCTGCCCAAGGTCCCACAACCAGAACATGGCACCACCAGGTCACAAACCAGCATGCCTGCCCTCCCCATCCGCAAACCCTTCAACAACTTCCCACTGCTCAGGATGACAGAGCCCTCCTCGGTCCAAGGCCTGGCATGGTCAGGCCCCGCCTGCCCCCATGGCCTCCTCTCCTGCCCTCGTTCTTCTCCCTGAAACTCTCCATGGTCCAGCCCCCGCCTCGTTCCATCTTGGGTCAAACCCCGCCTCCCCTGCACACCAGGGCCTTGGCACGTGCGCCTCCCTCTGCCAGAGAAGGCCCCTTCCTGCTCGTTCTTTAGGTTTTGGCTTAAATGTAAATTCCTCCAAGAGGCCATCTCTTGCTCTCCCATCCTCTTGAGTGGCAGCCTCTTTTCTACTTTCTCATCAGGCTCCCCGCTCTCCTGCCTGGCACAGACCTCTCAGGGAGGTGGAGGGTCTGTCCAGCGCCCGCCCACCGTCCACGGCTCACACGCACCGGGTAATCACTCTGTGCCCAGCCCCACGCCACACACGGTCTATGGCTCATATTTAATTCTCACAACCACCCTACGGGGTAGGTGGTTTTCTTGTTCTCCAGTTTACAGATGAGGAAACTGAGGCTCAGAAAGAAGAAACGCCTTGCCATCGCTTACGGATGCGGGAGGTGCCTGGGAGAGCTCTGTCTCTCTGTCGCGTAAGCATCCAAGCCTACAGTAGGCACACAATAAATGTTGATGAAATGAATGAGCAAAGGGGCAAGCAGGACAGTGGGACTGGGCCTGCCTGGGTCTGGGGACGTCAGCCAAGCTGTGCTGTGGTCAGGGGTCAGGGCTAGACAGGGCCCCTCCAGGTACCATCCCTGCCCTGCCGAGCTATGTGCCCCAGCTGCTCCTCATTAATTAGGTCCTTTATTACCTGCTTTTAACAGGAGCCAGACACTGCCCTTCCCAGGCGGGCTGGGATCGAAGCTGGGGGAGGGAAGCCCCCTCCTCTCCTCTTCCCCTTCTGCCCAGCCACCCAGCTGGGCAGAAGGGGAACCAAGGGGACAGGAGTCAGGTGCGGTATGAGAGCGGGTGGGGGCCCAGGTGGTCCTCCACCCTGGACTCCTCCCTTCCCCTCCTCCTCCTGCTCATGCCCATCACCCGCCCCCCCCCCACCAGCTGTGGCCACTGGCTGAGTCTAGGCCATTGTCCTGGGGGACGGGGGAGGGTGGGGACCCGGCACAGTGGGTGGCTTGTGCCCTGCCCACACCCTCCCCCCTGCCCGTCAATGGGGCACTTGTCAATTCATGCCCAAACATGGCGGAAATCCCGTCAGCCACGTGGCCGTGGGCAGGGCAGGCCAGGGCCTAAGGGTGCTGGCCAGGCCTAGCTGATATGAGCCTGGGGCCAACAGGGTATGGGGCCCAAGCCTCTCCCTCCAGTACCCCGAGCGTCCATTCTAGGTGTCGGAATCTGAGGGGCACCCTGATTCTAAGCAACGGCAGGGGGTCAGGGTGGTAGTGGTCAAGGGACTGCCCACCTTGGCACTCCCATGATGCCCCAAGGGACTGCTGGGGTCAAAGAGGCCCGGGTGCTAATGCGAGCCCCCCGTTCATTGCCGTGACCCTCAGCAAGTGACCTGCCCTCCCTTGGTCTGGCTTCCTTCCCCATCGCTGGGGCAGGGATCCCAGCATCTTCAGGGAGAAGGTGGGGGAGAGCCTCGCCCCTGGGAGACCATTCCTCGATCAACGTGAATCGCCGTTTCCGTCTCTCTTGGGACCCCTCTCTCCTTTCCTGCCCCACCGTCCCCCCTGCTTCTCCATATCAGCTCCAGGGAGCCGCTGAGAGGGCCTCGCACCTTCGTCTGAGCCCCTCTGAGGCATGACCAGTACCATGCTGTTATTCTGGCACATGAACAGCACACTCTGGCCTCTAGGCTCTGGCTCTAGCCATCACCCCCTGCCCGTGGGTAAGCCTTCTGTGACCGCCTGCCTGCCCCAGCAGCCCCTCCTCAATCACCCCAGTCACAGAGGGCCCCCAGTGCTGAGGCTTGTCTCCTAGTACTGACTGAGCTAATCAACATGCTCCAAACTAATTCACACTGGGACTGGGTACTGTGGGCTCTCACCTCCTTTGGTTTGGCTTTCTATCTTTATTAATATGATCTCTGATTACTATGATAACTGCTAGCTGTCCCTGCTTCAGGCTTCATCTTGTGTCCAGAGCCTTCTC